TGGAGTCCATTCTGACCCACAGCGCCCCTAGAGGACAGAGTGGAACTGCCCCAGAGATTTCCAAGGCTGTGATCTTTACAGAAGCAGGTTGCCTCATCTTTCTCTCAGGGAGTGGCTGCTGCGTTTGAACCTCAGACCTTTGAGCCAGCAGTAGAGTGCTTTAACCACTGTGCCACTGGCACTCCTTCACACCCAGTGTCTCTTAAACACTGAGTCCTCCTCTCCTCCTTTTCCCCATGTAACTTTCCCATGACATAAAATTTTATTCTTCGGCCAGTTAAAATGTGAAAACCATCTTGCAGTCTGTACGGATCAGGCGTAGGCAGCCCACCGGCCTTAGCCTGCCGACCCCTGTCTCGGACCGTTCTTAGGGGAAAGGCTTGCAAGTCCCGTCGTTGTCCTACCTTTATACATGCTCCTGTGAGCTGGTTCTGCATGTGAGGCTGTGGCCAGGTTGCTGATCCCTCTGTGGACCAGACGGTCCCTGCAGAGCCTGCTTCTGTCTGGATCTTGGTGCTGGCACCTCCCGTCCTCCTCTTCTCCCTCCTTGTGTACTTGCTGCTTGTGGGGGAGCGGACACACTGTTCAAAACGTCATGCTTTCGTGCTTTGGGGAGAATAATGAGCTGCTAATGTTCCTTGGAAGCCTCCTCCAAGGAGGCGCTAATGGCTGGCACACCCAGTTGCTAACTGAAAGGCTGTGGGTTCCAGTCTACCATAGATGCCTCAGAAAGCATTCTACTTCCCAAAAATCAGCCACTGAAACCTGCATGGTGCCCAGTCCCACTCTGCACACAGGGTCACCATGCATCAGAGTCCATTCCACAGCAGCTGGATTTTAATGCTCCCTTTAGTGATCTGGTGGCATAATGGTTAAGGCACTCGGCTGCTAACCAAAAGGTTGGTGGATCGATCCCACCAGCTGCTCCATGGGAGAAATATGAAGCAGTCTGCTTCTGCAAAGGCCACAGCCTTGAGGATCTTATGAGACAGTTCACCTCTGTTCTAAAGGATCGCTGTGAGTCAGAACCAGTTGGATGGCAGTGTGTTCGGGTGTTCAGTGATCTGTGTGTGTGTGTTACCTGCAGTGTATGTGTGCTTCCTTCATGATCTGTTGTGTGTGCGTGTGTGCGTCCCTTCATGATCTGTTGTGCATGTGTGTTGCCTTCCGTGATCTGTTTTGTTTGTGTGTTTTCCACCCCCAGATACTTCCGAAAAGCAGTCAACGTCATTCTGCAATTTATCCCCGAGATGATTTTTATCCTGTGTCTGTTTGGCTACCTGGTTTTCATGATCATTTTCAAATGGTGCCAGTTTGATGTCCACGTGTCCCAGGGTGCCCCGAGTATCCTCATCCACTTCATCAACATGTTTCTCTTTAACTACGACGACCCTTCGAACAGGCCCCTCTACAAGCATCAGGTATCGTGGTTCTCTTATCTCTGCTCTTGTGTGTCAAAGCGTGCCCGTACCCTTGGGCACTGCACAGACTTACCGACAAGGCAGAGCCATCTTAGCACCTGGCCACAGGTCTTCAGTTCTTCCCTTAGAGAGCTGAATGGATGCACAGGTGTGCAGGGGGGCACATGACGGGTTATTGTGGGGCTCTGGTGAAATTGGCTTGTGCCCTGATGAGCCGAAAGAGACAATGCTTGCGGTTGGTTTGAGCTGAAGCTATACGTGTTCTGGACGATTGGTTGCTACTGAGTCGTTTATAACTCACCCCACGGGATGTCCCGTGGGGCCGGGAGAGGACTGTGCTCTGTGGCGTGTCCGCCAGCTGACTGTCTGGAAGTGGATCACCCGCCCTTTTCTCCGAGGCACGTCTGGTGGACTTGGACCCTCAACCTTCCGGGGAGCGGCCAAGCCCGTTAACTGTCTGCAGCACCCGGGGACTCCAAATGCTGGCGGTGTCCTGCACAGCCCAGAATAGCATCGTAGAGTAAGGAAAGGAAGGTCTCATGCCAAGCTGTCACGGGGAGTGAGTTTTAGCCACAGTCAGAGAACACTTTGGAACGCTCTTCTGCAGTGTCCCATCTTACTGCTGTTGTTTAGCCCTTTCAGTTCTACTGGAGCCCAGGTGGCACAGCCGTTAAGCACTCAGCTGCTAACCAAAAGGTCGGTGGTTTGAACCCACCAGCCTCTCCATGACAGAAACACGTGGCAGTCGGCTTTTGTAAAGAGCTGGAAGTCTGGAGGTTCAAACCCATCAGTCACTCCTCAGAAGGAAGGTTGGGCAATCTACTTCCGTAGTGATACCGCCTTGGAAACCCAAGGAGGGGTCGCTATGAGTCGGGTCAGACTCCAAGGTAGTGAGTTTGGTTTTGGTTTATAGCCTTGGAGACCCTGTGGGCAGTTCCACTCTGTCCTCTAGGGGCGCTGTGGTCAGAATGGACTCCACGGCAGTGGGTGTGGTTTGGGCTTTGCT